CCCACCCCTTCCCAGAGGAGCGGGCATCCTGGCCTCACCCTGCTCAGGGTGCTGCTCTCCCTCCCAGCCAAGGACAAAGCTGCCGAGCCAGCGGGCAGCGTGGGCCCAGGCAAGTTTGCTCCCAGTGAGGTTTGACGGCACAACCCGGATTCCCACTGCCGCTGTGCCGCAGTGAGCTGGGGTGGCGAAGAGTCAGCCCCAGGCTGGGCTCGCACGGAGCCCGGGGGGGGTGAGAATGGACATGGCATGGGCAGAAAGTGGGTCCTTCCCACCCCCCCACCCCCACCCCCCCCGAGTGCCAGCAGGGACACAATAGCAGGCACCCAGCCAGTGCCATGGGGAAACCAGCACACAAAGCCTGCCACCGCTGCCACCAGCCCTCCCTGCCATGGCACGGGGGTGGCACCTGGGGGATGCTGTGTCCCTCGGATGGACATCACAACCCGAAGCAGCAGGGTCTGACGGTGAAGGGTCCCAAAGCAGATCCAAGCCTGAATCCCGTGGGGTGCCAAGGGGATCCTTGCCATGACACTGCCGCAGGGGTCATGGCGCGACAGGTTCCGGGTGGGAAATGACTTTTGGCGTCAGCAAGCCCAAAATCCCGGCACGGTGGCACCCACCCAGCTGCCACTGAGGAGGGGGGGGAAAGAGAGAGCAGCTCAATTCCACTGGGCTCTGAAACCCCGTCCCAGCGACTGCCCCGACCCCGGGCCAGGCCACTGCCGGGCAGAGGAGGAGGAGGACAAAGCACCATTCATGAACGCAGCCCTGTCCCCAAACAGCCTCCAGCGGGGAAGGCTGCCAGCCGCCGCTGCTGACCCCAGGGACATCCCCAGCCCAAGCATCCCCCACGCATGTCCCCGTGAGAGGGGAGGTGGCGCTGAGACAAGCCCAGCTGCCAGCAGCCCAGGACACTGGGGTACCATCCCCTGCTCTTGCTTGGGGGGACATTGGTCCCCTCTGGCGAGGAGGTGACCAGTAGCACGATGCCCCTGTCCTGGTGGGAAATGCCTCTCCTGGGATCTGCAAGGGAGGCAGCGTCCATCCCAGGAGGGGAAAGCCACCTCCACCCCATCACACACAGCTCCCATCCCCACCAAGTCCCTCAATGGCAGTCCCAGTGCCTTAACTGGTGATGCTGGTGGCATGGAGGGATACAGCCCCAGCGGCTCTATCCTCTCTAGGAAAAACCCTATGCTTGCACACAGAGCTGGCACCAGGCACCGAGGGCCCCTCCAGTCCCATCTCCTGGGGGGTACCCTACTCCCTGTGCCCTCCCAGCATCTCAGGTCCTCCCGAATCACAGGGCCCAGCCCGGGAAAATGCTGTCATCTCCTCCTATTCTTGCCCTGCAATAATATTTTCCCAGCTCAGAATAACATTGGCAAAATCGTCGGGCTCCTTTTATTGTTTCAGGCAAGGCTTCCCCTTCTCCCCCAGCCCCTGCAAATTCCTCCTGCGCCTCAGGTTACACCGGCTCAGGGCACCTTCTCCTTCCCTGGCTTCATCTCCCCAGGGAGCAGCACCCTGCCATGCCCCATCCATCCCTGGGATCCCTTTGCCCCAGGGTGGGGAACCCATAGGAGCCTCCATCCCAAGTGGGGAGTCCCTCTGGGGGGACAGTGGAGAGCTGGGAGGGCACCGGGCTGTGTTGCGATACTCCTGGTGCACCCAGCAGCAAAATCCTTGTTCCCCTCTTACACAGCCCACTGCTGGAAGTCAAGGAGGAAGGAAAAGAATGGCTTGAAGTGGGAGGGAGAGCTGCACCCCTGCACCCGCAGCATGATGCCCTCCCCTCTGGCCCCCCAAACATCTCCCCACAGCCGGAGCCGCCGGCCACCCACAGCCCAGGCTGACGAGCTAAGCACAAGCAGCTTCAGTTCACCCCAGTTTTCATTTCAGAGGCTTATAATGGTTTTAATTGAAATTTTCATTTTCTTTTTCTTTCCCCCAGGGAGAAGGCGGTGGCAGAATTTGTTTCATGGGAAATTTCAGTTTCTGTTTCCAATTTGGAAGAGGAACAGAATAATCAGCTTAAGAAATAAGAAAAAAAAAAAAAAAAAAGCTTCAAAAGGTTGCTGGCTCCCAGCGGGAGGCTGAGGAGCCCGCCCTGCCCCGGGGGGAGCCCCTCACACCTGGGGAACAGCCCGGCACGGCCGGACTTCGCGCTGGAGCACATCAGGGACGGAGCCAGACCCTGAGCCCCACCACCAAGCCCTGCTGGGACCCCCAAACCTCCTAGCCCTGCTGCCAAGCCCAACCTGAGGACACGGGATCCCACCACGGGGCAGAGCCGTGAGTCTCCCAGGGTAAACAGCGGGTCACCGCGTGCCTCAGTTTCCCCCTTTCGATACGGAGGGAGCCCCTGGGACCACCAGCTCTGCCCCAGGACAGAACCAGGGATGCAGCCAGCCTGCGCCCCAGGGCCGAGGGACCCCCAACCCATGCAGCACAAGGGCAGATGGCAGCTTTCTGCCAGCACAGGGACACGCTCCACAGCTCCCAGAGCTCTCTGAGGGCTGGGCTGCCCCTCTTTGGGAAGAGATTATGCATTATGCAATTTATTTTATTTTATTTTAGAGCAGGTTCGCTGATTTTAGGTAAGGAGGAGGAGATTTGGGTGCTCCAGACTCCTCTGTCAAGTTTGGCTGGAAGCAGCCCCTGGATTAAGCTGGCAGCACGGAGGATGCAGCGAGCCAGAGCAAGATCACGGGGAGAGTTTTAATTAAAACCAAACACTCCCCCCGCAGCACCCCGAGGGCCCCCCGGCACCTCAGCACCCGCACCCCTGCACAGAGGGGGCTCAGAGGGTGCCCGGGCCGAGCAGCACCCAGGGGACCTGCCCGGGCAGCTGGGGACCGCCCAGCTCCCACCCAGCCGCGGGCAGGAAGCTGAGCACCCACGGGGATGCCCACGCCGGGAGAGCACCCACCTAACCCACGCTCCAGAGCGTGCCGGTGCCAGAACAGCGCCCTGCCTCAGTTTCCCCACACTCCACGTGGGAGACGATCCCTCGTGGGAAGCAGCGGGGCTGGCGCGGACCTTGGCGGCGCATCCCCCCCCCCCCCTCCCCCGGCAGCCGCCCAACACCCGGCTCTCCCCTCTTCCTCCTCCTCGCGGGCCTCCCACGTCCCGCGCGGGGAGTGGGGGGAGGAGGGAGGGGCGCAGAGCAGCCGCTTACCAAAACCCCAGTCCAAACCGAGCCTCCAGCGCAAGGTGCCCTCCCCAAAAAAAAACACCCCATAAATCCGCACTTTAGGCGCAGCACCCCCAGCCGAGGCTCCCCAAGCCCCCACCCGGCCACTGTTGGGGGGGGGGAGGCTGAGGACACCCCTATGTGTGCAGGACCCCCCCCCCCCCGCCCCGCAGCAGGTGCCCCCGGCCCGGCTCACCGCGGTAGGGCAGGCGGAGCCGGGGCGGGCTGCGCCCCGCCGCCAGCAGCGCAGCCCCCAGCCAGCACACCGCCACCGCCGCCCGCATCCCGCCGCCGCTCCCGGGGCTGCCGGTGGCACCGAGCCTTTATGGAGCCGCCATCCGACCGCCCCCGGCCCGCCCCGGCACGCCCCGGCCCGGCCCCGACATCCCCCCCCCCGCACCGTGTCGTGCTGGGCGGGACAGCCCCATCCACCCGGGGGGTGGGCACCCAGAGCTCCGCACCCCCCAACATCGTTGCCTGCCACCAGCGGTTTAGCCCCCCCGCACCCCAAAGGAGTAACCCTACCAGCCCCTCCCGCTCATCCCTGGAGGATGGGGAGCAAGGAGAGGGGGGGAAGCTGGGGTCCCCCCAGCCTTGCCCTTCCAGAGGGGTAGGAAAGGGGACACAGGCCTGTCCCCCAAGAAGGATGCCCAGCGTGGGGTGGTCTCCAAGCATCAGTGGGCACCCAGCTCTCGGGTCCCATCTCAGCGGCCAGGCAAGCCGGGAATACCAGGCCGGGTGGGGAAGGGGGCTGAGCAGGATGGAGGGGGGCACGGGGTGCCGCACGCACAGGGCAAGGAACAGGGCAGTGGGGATGCGCCGCTGTCTGCCTGCGACAGAGCCTGCTCACCTGCACCCTGCACGGGGACCCCAGCCAGCAAGCAGGACCCCGTTCTGCCCCACGGCACCCACACCGCTCCCACGCCATCCTTCGCCAGGGCTGAGGGACACGGCCGTATGAGACACCAGAGAATCCACACGGGCTTCCCTGGGGAGCCTCGGTGTACAAGCAGGTGTCCCCCCTCCCAAAAGCCTTGGATGCCCCCGGCACTGGATGGAGGGGAAGGAGCCGGCGGCTTCTCCTGCAGCCCTCCATCGCCACCGGCCTCATCCCTTCTCCCAGCTGGGCCCGTGGGCAGCCTCGGCAGCCCCCACCCTCCCACAGCCCCCCAAGGCTTGCAGTGGCTTTATAAATTAAAAAGGAGGGCAGGAGCATGGGGGGCCCTGGCTCACCCCCAACCTTGTGTAACGCAGCAGCTCTACAACTCCCCCGACCAGGGCAAAACCACCTCAATTTGGCTCAGTGAGCCCTGGGCTGGCACATGGCCCCGGTTTCCCCAGGGGAGACCCCAAGGGTGGGCGGCACGGCGTGGCTCTGGGACAGATCCAGCACCCCTGGGTGCTGGGGAGCCGCGTGGGGTGGGGTAAGAGCAAGGAGGAGATGCAGCCTGTGGGCAGCTCTGGCAGGAAAGCAGAGGCTGCCTGCCCAGACCCGCACACTGCCTGCCCGGACCCGGGGGTTTGGGGGCAGCAGGAGCTGACGGGAGGGTGGGAGCAGGATAAATCCGGCACCGCCAGCTGCTCCTGCTCCCCTGCGGTGCCCCGAGGCTGATCTGGAGCGGAGGCTCCCAAGGAGCAGCCCCACAGCCTGCCCGGGCAGGATCCTGCCCACAGAGCCATCCCTCAGCCTGACGAACCCCGGGGAGCGGGGAGAACCCCAGCAGACCCCATGGCACTGAGGAAATCCACCGTGCCTGGGCTCCTGGAGCCCCCTCAGGCAGTGCCATGGACAGACAGACAAACCTGCCCGCTCCGGGCCGTGCTTACCAAGATTTATTGACTTGCACGGGGAGGACAGGGGCTACTGGCCCCAGCTCCCGCGGCAAGCGGGCAGGGAGGCAGGACAAGGCGTGGGCAGGCAGAGCGTGGCACCGGCCAGCCCCTTACCCCACAGTGCAGCCAGGGGTGGCATGGGGACAGGAGGAGGCACCGCCGACACCAGGAAAGGCAGGAGGCACCAGGGCACGAGGCTCTGCTGGCACCCAAGGGGGACACAACCCCCGGGGAGGTGGCTGGGACCCAGATTTTGAGGGCACAGCCAGGACACTTGGCACAGGCGTCACCATCGGGGCAGCCCCGAGCACAGCCAAGGCGGCACGATGCCGGCTGGGTCCCCGGCACGCTGGCAGCCGCTTGCCGTGCCCACCCTCTGGCCCCTTTTTACAGCCGTGCCTCCCGCTGCTTGGATCGCTGCCGTCCTGCCCCTCGCCGGGGTGCTCAGCCCTCGGCAGGCAGCGGGGCCACCGACGCCAGGGCGGGCAGGAGGTGGGCGTAGATGTCGATGCCCCGTAGGAAGACTTGCTCGTTGAGGAACTCGTTGTGGTCGTGGAGCAGCACCGGGGTGCGGTTCATGGGCGAGAAGCCGATAGCGGGGTGCCCTGCCTGGGAATGGGGGGGGGGGCGGGGGTACAGGGTGAGGCCGGGGCTGGGAAGGGCACCGGGTGCCCCCCCCTCTGCCCAGGCACAGCTCCTGCTTGGGGCTGCAGGTCTCATCCCAGGTGGGGGACCCACGGGTGGGGTGGCATCGCACTCACCGCTCGGATGTAGCGGCTGTCGGTGGCAGCTGGGAAGATCTCAAGCTTGAGCTGCAGCTTCCTAAAAAGTGAGGCTCTGCATCAGCATGGGCACGGGGATGGCCGGGTCCCCTGTCCCCCTGCCACCACGGGCAAAGAGACCACGCCAGGGAGGTCCCTCGGCCCTGCAGGACACTCAATCCCATCCCTTCCAGTGGGGCATGGGTTGAAGCCCTGGCATGGAATGGAGCATCTCCACCCAACCCCTGCCATGACCCCAGAGATCCCCGGGGATTCCCCCGGCTCCCACAAGAGGAGGTCCCCACCACAGTCTTGCCCTTCCTGGGGACACTACTCACATGTCCCTGCAGACCCCGCTGAAGGCTTTCCACCATGGGTCCGACTCCTCAGTGGAGGTGACGTGTTGGTCCATGCATTTCTGAGGGAGGGAGAGGGCAGGTGAGGGGTGGGGGGGGTGGGTGCGTGGCAGGGGAGGGACGGGCACGATGCACCTGGGTGGCCAAGACCCCTCACCTGGTGAAACTCATAGGTGACACCGTCCCCGGCACCACGGCACCATGCAGCCACCTGCTCCTCGAAGGCCTGCGGCAGAGACAGGAGGAGGGGTGTGAGCGAGGTACCCCCCAACCTGCCCCCCTCCCAGGTGGGGCCAGCGAGGCACCCACCTTCAGGTCCACGGTGGGTGGGATGCGGACGTCGAAGCTGGCCGCCATCTCGGAGGGCACCACGTTGAAGGAGACGCCCCCCTCCAGCATGGTCAGGTTGAGCGAGGTGACGTCCCCTAGGGTCAGGCTTGAGTCGGACTTGAGCCTCGGAGGACGCAAGGGAAGAGTCACCCTCTGCCACCCAGGGAGGAGAGGAAGCCCTCCCCCACCCCGCCACCACCCCCAAATGGGGAAACTGAGGCATGGGGTGCCAGCGCCGGATCAGAGCCTGCCTTGGGATCCCAAGGACCCCCTCCATGGACAGAACTGAAGCCACAGCCATCCCGCTGCCTGCCTCCTACCTCTGCTTCTCGCTCTCCCTGAAGGCCAGGAAGGAGGTGATGACTTTGTGCTGGGGAGGGAAGGGCAGCGGGTCAGGACCGGGCCCTGCAGGCAGGTGCCTGGCAGCCCCAGGGCAGGGAGGGGGTGCGCAGGGTGTACCCCTTCTCTTACCATCTTCTCAGCCGCTGTGTTGCTGATGAAGCGAGACCCATGCCCAGGGCTACCCACGCACTTCACCTTTATCCCTGCGGCAGTTTGGGGAGAGGGAAGCATTGAGCAGAAAGCCCAGGGCAGCACCAGTGCTCCATTGCCCCAGTCAGAACCAGGGACGGGGCGGTGGGCACACAGTCACTCACACCACGGGCTCTTCTCGCCGTAGAAGACACTGAAGGTGTCGGATGGACTGGCCAGGCCTGCAGTGGGCACAGACTGGGAGTCAGCAGGGCACGGGACTGCCGTGATGTGCCCCCCTCTGCTCTGCCCTGACAGCATCTCCCCTCCAGGCTGGCACAGTGAGGGTCACTGCCCAGGGGAAGGAGCCCCCGAGGGGGTCCCTGGAAGCCGTGCCGGGTGCTGGTGCCCTGGAGGTGATGCCAACAGGCGGAGGGGTGCGTGCCAAGAGGAGACACGTCCCCATGCCAGCCCTACCACCACTTACCCTCGTCCATGGCGAAGCCCACGTTGAGAGCTCTGAACTCGGGGCGCTGCACAAACATCTCCATACCCTTGTGTCCACCCACCTCCTCGTCTGTGGGGGAGAGACTGGTGTGGAGGAAGGAACTGGGCGTCCCCTGGCCCACCACCTCCAGGTCCTTCTTCCACGCCAGTCTGGGTGCCACCGGCACACCCAATGTCCTCGGACACGGAAACCCCTCTAGCCTAGAGCTAGGAGAGCTCAAAATCTGGAGAGGCTGGCAGGGGGGTGCCCGGCTGCCATGCCATGGGGAACTCCAGAGTATCACCCAGCTGCCAGCCTCTCCTGTCCCCACAAGAGAAGACACCCTTGGGACTCACCAGGCACAAAGGTGAGGTGGATGGTGCGGGCAAAACATTTTCCCTCTGCCTTCAGCCTCCGGATGGCCTCGAGGTACCTGCAGGGAGAAGTTGGTGCCTGGGCATCGAAGAGAAGAGGGGCTGGTGCGCCCTGAGCCACTCCAGGGAGGGTCAAGCAGTGGCACCCTCAGCCCCAGGGACCCTGGGGATGGCAGCATCCTGTCCTGCATCACTCAGAGGCACCCACAGCACCATGCCCAGCCGGCCGGCGCAGAGCCCTCCACTCACTGGATGGAGACACACTTCATGTCCTGGGCACCCCGGGCGTAGATGTTGCCTTGTGAGTCCTTAACAGCCTCGAAGGGTGGGTAGGTCCAGTGCTCCTGTGGGGAACCGTGGCCGTGATGGCAGAGGGGCCTGGCAGCCACCAGCTCCCCTTCACCGGCCACCCCCAGACCTCCCCACTGTGCCCATCCCACTCCTTCCCCCGTCCCAGCACCTCAAAGACAGGCACGACATCAGTGTGGGAGTTGAGGAGGACGGAGCGCAGGCGGGGGTTCGTGCCCTGCCAGGTCAGGATCAGCACCACGCGGCCCTGGCAAACCTGTGGGGCGAGCGCAGGGTGTCACCGGGGTCCTGGCTGGAGCCGAAAAACATCAGCCTGGGAGAAGCTTTGCGATGCCACCAGGCAGGTCACCCCTTTCTCTGCTGGGAGAGGGCAGGCAGCAGGAGCAGGCATGCCTGCACCCTTCCAGAGCCAGACTGAGCCCAGCCATGGGCGTGAGACCTGGCTGCAATTCAGATGGAGGAGGGGAGATGAACCCTGTGTCTGCCCCTGGTGCCCAGGAGTCTCCCAGGACAGCCAGTGCCCAGCAGGAGGGATGTCCCCAGCCGACATGACCCTGCCAGGTCCCCGCCTAAATATAGCACAGGCAGCTGCAAAGGTCAGCAGGGACCAGCCGGAACACAGGCTTAAGGAAGGGCTCAGGTCAGCAGAGGATTACAGAGAGAGGGGATTCGCTCCTGCCCAGCTCCGGGAGGCACCAGGGGGGATGGATGGATGGATGGATGGATGGATGGATGGATGGATGGATGGATGGATGGATGGATGGATGGATGGATGGATGGATGGATGGATGGATGGATGGATGGATGGATGGATGGATGGACTGGGGGCTGCTCCTTGCCCCACTCACCTCCACTTTCTGGCAGGCCAAGCCCAGGTCGGTGCCGACACGCTCCAGAAAATGGATGGCCGCATCTGGGGAGGAGCAGGGATGGCCAGAGTTACATCAGGATCTCCCTCCCCTCTCGCTGCAACCCCTCAGGGACCCCAAGGCTCTCTGGGGTTGCCAGGCCAAGGAAAGAGGTGACCAGAGAGGGCAGGTGATGGAGGTCCTGGGCACAAGAGCTGGCCGGGACTGGGGAGAGGAGCGGCTCATCACCATCCCTTTGGGGCGAGGACTAGAGGAACATGAAAAAATAAAAATTGAAGGGGGCAGGTTCAGAGGGGACAGTCATCCATGAGAGTTCTGGGAGCTCCTCACCAATAAAAAAATCTCGATGTACTTTAGTGAGAGGATGGAAACGTTAATGGAAGGAGATCTACACAGGGTTACCACAACCATCCATGCCAGAGCCTGGGCAGCCTGGAAAGGGGGGGCCCTGGGGCACAGAGGAAGGAAACAGCAAATCTGGGTGCACTCACAATGTCCCTGCCCCAACCAAAGGCACCAGCAGAGATAAGGCACAAAGCCTTCCCTCTTTAATGCTGTTCGCTCCTTAACACCACAATCAAAACAGCCCCAGCTGAGGACTCAGGCACCCGGGTCCAAAGACTGGAGCTGCAAAGCCGCCTTTGCCAGATCCCTGCACAACCCCCCACCCTGTCCCCTACATCCTCACCATAGTCAGGTTTGGGGTGGACAGAGTCGATCCTCAGGTACTCCCGGAAAAGGGTAACCGAGGGGTTCTCTGAGGCCCCCGTGCTCTTGCCAGGCTTCCCGGGTGTCATGTCAGGGACCGAGGCTGCAAAGCTCTGGGGGAAGAGCAGCAAGATGGTTAATCACCCACCGGCCCCTCCAAAGTCCGCCGGCAAGCTCGGTCGTCACAGAAACCAAAGTGGGACGGGGCAAAGGTCTCCCCAGTGTGAGTCCTGGGACACTGCCACCACGGGAAAAGTCCCCCCACTCGGGTACAGGGGCAGGATGCGATGTGCCCCCCATGCCGTCCTTTCATTCTGCCCCCAAAGCGCACATTCTTGCCCCAAACATGCGCCAGGGCAAGCCGTGATGCTCAGGCATGGAGCGAGGGGTGAGATCCAGGGAAGGGCTGGCTGGGGTGTAGGGGGGCTAGCAGGGAGGAAAGGGGGGCAACAAGGTGGGGGGGAAGGGTCTATAGGACAGGGGCACATGGTAGGTGGGGTTAGCCAGTGGTTAGAGGTCTGGGGTGATGCTGGGGGAGTGCAGGCAGGGAAGGCAGGATGCTGGTGCAAGGGGGTGCAGGTAAGGAAAGGGGGATACTGCCTGCTTAGGGGGTGCAGGAGAAGTGCAAAGAAAAGGTCCTGGGGGTGCCGGGAAAGGAGGGTGGTGAAGGGGGACCTTGTGCTTACAGAGGGGCTGGGGGGGCTACAGGAAGGTGACACACTACTGGGTGTTTGAGGGGTGTTGGGTGGCTGGAGGAGCAGGAGGATGTGGGGTGCTTAGGGACACGTGGGGGTGCAGCAAGAGGGGTGATGGGGAACCCTGGGGGGGGGTATGAGCGTAGGGGGTGCAGAGGGGCTATGAGAGGGGTGCAGGGGTACTGTGGCTAGGGGTACAAAGGGGCACAGGTGGGGTATAGGAGTACCATGGCTGGGGTGCAGAAAGGGGGCACAGTGGGGTGCAGAGGTACTGCAGTTGGGGTACAGGGGCACGGGGTGCTGCGGGTAGGGGTGCAGGGGTACTGTGGTTAGAGGGGTGAAGGGTGCAGCATACCATGGTTAGGGGGGGTGGGCTGCTGTGCGGGTTGGGGTGCAGCGGTTGCATTATTCAGGGGTAGCACGGGCAAGAGGACAGAGGGGTGCTGGATACCGTGGATGGGGGCGCAGGGAGGGTGCAAGACAGCATGGTTAGGGGTGTGAGGGGGTACGGGGGGTGCCGGGTACCGTAGTTAAGGGTTCAAGGAGATACGGGGGGGGAGGGGGGGGGGTGTACCCTGGAGAGGGGGGGGGGGCTTGTGGGGGGGGGGGGGAACGAAGGCACCGGGGCAGACCCCCGCGGGCTGCTGCTGGCCCGATCCCCCTCCCCGGACTCCCGCCCGCCCCGGCCCTACCTCCGCGCTGCTGCCGCCGGCCCCGCCGGGCCCCGCTCCGCTCCGCCCCGGCGCCGGTGGCGGGCGGGCAGGGGAGGAGCCCCGGGGGGGGAACGGGGAGGGGCACGGGCTGAAGGCCGGGAGCACGCAGGGGGGTGGGCCGGGCACCCTCCCGCCCCACACTAGTGGCGGAGAGATGGGGGCTGGAGCCCCGGGAGCCCCGCGGCGCTTGGGGACACACGCAGAAAGCAGAGCAGCATCAGTTTATTGGCCTTGTGACGGAAAGCACCCTGTCCTGCCAGCAAGGGACACCCTCAGTGTGTCGTCCCCACCACCACCCTGGAGACACCCCAAAAGAGAAAAGCACCCCTCACGTCAGCCACCCCGTGCTTCCCCCAGCCCCAGCACCCCCATCCTCTGCTTGGCGGGGGACGAGGTGGCGCTCACTTCAGCTGGTGCAGGAAGCCCAGCAAGGCCTGGTGGAAGTCCTCTGGTTTGTCCAGGTAGCAGGCATGGCCGGCGCCGGACACCACGGCCAGGCGGTGCTCGGGGAGGTGCCGGAGGCTCTGCAGGGCCTGTGCACCCAGCCTCGTGTCACGGTCACCGTACAGGATCAGGGTGGGTGTCTTGGTAAGGAGAGAGAGCAAAACAGAGTGGTTGTCACAAGTGGGAAGTGGCCACCACGCTTCCCCTGGGCTGCGCCCACCTCCACCCCTCACCGTGGCAGCTGCGAAGCCGAGGGAAAGCAGGTGCCAGTCCCACTATGAGCTCGGGGGGGCCACAGGTCCCCCTCACTCACCCCAAAACAGGCCCACCCTCCGCATCACCCTCCAGCCAGCTGGCCCACAGGGCTCACCAGCACCCAGGGACCCCGCCAAGAGCCCGACAACCCACCTCACCTGGACCCGCCGGTACTGCTCAGCAGCGTAGTCCTTGGTGCCCACGGGCGCAATGGGCACAAAGCCGGCCAGCCAGTCCCCCCGCGCCAGGAGGAAAGGCAGGGCAAAGCGGCCGCTCATGGAGGGGCTGACGAGAACGGGCCTCCGCAAGCCCAGCTCCTGGAGGACACGGTCCAGGAAAGCCACTCGGCCCTGCGCCGTGGCCACTGTCTCTGCCGAGGGCGAATCCCCATAGCCTGGCATGGGGCAGAGGGCATAGGGTGGGCACGGGGTAGGGGGGAATTGTGCAGAGCCTGCAGTGGTCTCTCCCCTGCCACGGCTCAGCTGGTTTGGCAAAAAATGGGGCCCCTGATCGAGCCCCAACGGTTGTACAGCCACAGCCACGCACCATCCAGACCGAGCCGGCCCCAGCCAAAGGGTTTGGGTGGCCACAGAGGTCAACGCGCCGGGTCAAAGCCAAATCCCAGGCACGCTGCCCCAGGGACCACCACCAGCTAGCTGCCTGGAGAGGTCCAGAGCCCCGCAGTGGCTGGGGTGAGTGACTGGAGCTGCCCAGAGGGATCAGCTTAAGTACAGTGCCACGGTCCTACCAGGCAGATCTATGGCAACCGCGCGGTAGCCTTCTCCGGCGAGCAGCGCCAGCGTGCCCAAGGCCTCCCAGGTCTTGGAGGTGAACGCCTGGCCGTGCAGGAACAGGACATCAGGCCTGCGGTGGGGAAGACAGGCGGGAAGGGGTTGGGGGAAGGCACAGACCCTGAGCAATCCCCAGGGCCGGTCGCCTCCCACCTTCCTCCGCCGTGGGAGCTGGCGGGCTGACCCACCTCCCGGGGCTGGCAGCACCGCCGGGCCGGGGTCCTGCCGAAACCTCCCTGTAGAAGACGGGGGGCTCCCCTGCAGCCATCCCCGTTTGTGCGGTGCCGTTGGGCGCCCACCGGGTGCCCGCCGTGCGCCGATCGCGCTGGGCAGCCGGGAGCAGAAGGTAGAGGAGGAAGGTGAGGAGCGCCCCGAGGAGCAGGAGCCCCAGGCGGCTGCGGGCGAGCGGCATCTCCGCTCCGGCTGGAGAAGGAAAATGGCAGCGGGGGGGGGGGGGGGGGGGGGGGGGGGGCTGGGAGCCCCGAACCCCACTGCTGCGGGGTGGGTCGGGCCCAGAGCACGGTGCTCCCCTCAGCTCCGGCCCGGCCTGCGCCCCCCGCTGCCAGCCCCGCCCGTCCCCGGCCTCCCGAGCTCCCGCGGGCTACGGCCGCCGGCCCCGCCGCCCCTCAGCTCCGGCCGGGACATGCAGCCCCTCCCCCCCCCCCCCCGCCGGTGCCGCGCCCGCAGCCCCCGGCTCCGCCTGGCGGGAGGCCGCAGCGCTGCAGGCCCCGCGGGCTGTCAGCCGCGGGGGGGGGGGGGGGGGGGGGGGGGGGCTGCCCGCCGCACCGACCCCCCCGGCAGCGCTCCACCGGGCCGGGGCCGAGATAAGAGGTTCGGCGTGGCGGGGCTCGGCTCGGTTCGGCAAGGGTTCGGCGACGCTCGGCTCGGCTCGGCAGAGCTCGGGTAGGGCTCGGTGGGTCTCGGCGGAGCTCGGGCAGGGCTCGGCTCGGCTCGGCAGAGCTCGGGTAGGACTCGGGTAGGACTCGGCTCGGCTCGGCAGGGCTCGGCTCGGCTCGGCGGAGCTCGGCTCGGGGGGGCGGCGGCCGTGCCCCGGGCCCGGCGCTCCGTGAGGCGGTGCCGCCGCTCCCCCCCCCTCTCCCCCCCCCCCACTCCGCCCCGGCGGCCTTTGGACCCGGGGCGCGGCACCCCCAGCCCCGTGGTGCGGCGGGGAGCGGGAGGCGAACGGCAGCCGGCTCTGGGGGCGGAGGAGCAGGTAAGGCCCGCCGGCCCAGCACCGGGCGGGGAAACTGAGGCAGGGGCGGGCCCGTGAGCCCGCCTGGCACAGGCGAGCGGCCCCGTGTGCCCACCGCGGGGCCGGACCCTGCCGGCATCCCCCCAAAAAGAGGGTGATGCCAATGTAACCCCCCTCCCTTCCTGGTACCAATGCCACAGCTCACCTGCCTTCCCGCTACTGCTGGGCCTCGACGCCCGGACCCCGCTGGGCCGCACAGGGCCACCACACACACCCCTCAGCGCCCCCCAAAACGGCTCTCCCGACCCCCCCGCCCCCAGGCATGGCTGCCCCACAGCTCACTGAGAGCACCGTCACCGTGGAAGGCCAAACCCTCTTCTACCGCCAAGCCCAGCCGGCCCAGCGGGCACCGAAGCTGACGGTGCTGCTGCTGCACGGCATTCGCTTCTCCTCCGACACCTGGCTTCAGCTGCAGACGCTTGCCACGCTGGCCGAAAACGGCTACCGAGCTGTGGCTATCGACCTGCCGGGTAAGGCGGGGTGGTGAGCGCAGCCCCCGGAGCGAGGTGGGGTCCGTGGGGGGAGCCGATACAGCTGCTGTGGTTCGTGGTGCCGGGACGGCAACACCGGCATCCCGCTGTGCCGGCTTCTCCCGGTCGTGAGGCGGCAGAGAGTGTGACGGGGCAACTTCTGTCTCCCACGGCGCAGGGCTGGGCCGCTCGAAGGATGCCGTGGCCCCAGCGCCTGTGGGCCAGCCAGCACCGGGGGCTTTCCTGAAAGCGGTTTCGGAGGCTCTGTGCCTGGGTCCGGCCGTGGTGGTCAGCCCGTCGCTCAGCGGCATGTACTCCCTGCCCTTCCTCCTCCAGCACAACCACCTGCTCAAGGCGTATGTGCCCGTGGCGCCCATCTGCACCGAGAAATTCACAGCTGAGCAGTACGCCCAGATCAAAGTACGGCCTGGAGGGAGGTCGGGGAACTGGGAGGGGATGGTGAGGAGGGGACCATAGCACCAAGGTTGGGCAAGGGAAAGACCAACCAGGCCAGAAACACTGTTGCTGCTGGAAAAGGGGAAAGAGACCGTGGGGTAGCAGGAGGGAAAGCAGGGGCATTAGGAGACCCAGGAGTGTCAGCCTCATTTTCCCCTTTTTGTGGTGGGCAGGGGGGACGGGCGTCTCCCCTCTGTGTCTTGGTCCCAGGGTGGAGCGGGTGCCTGTGTGGCATTGGCAGGCTCAGGGTACATTCCCCCTCTGCAGACCCCCACGCTGATCGTGTATGGGGACAAGGACACGGAACTGGGGCAGGCCAGCCTGAACAACCTGCGGCACCTCCCCGAGCACCGGGTGCTGGTGCTGCAGGACGCCGGACACGCCTGCTACCTGGACAAACCCAGCGAGTGGCACCGCGGGCTCCTGGCCTTCCTGCAGCAGCTGGAGTGAGCAGCGTGGGCCGTGCGGAGGGGCCCACAGGGCAGGGGGACGTGGCCAGCCCACCCACCCCTCCGCCAGCACATGCACCCTTGCACCAGCCCAGCTGCTCTCCTGGCATCCCAGCCCTGCCTCTCCTGGGACCAAATAAAACCCCAAGCTCTGCCGCTGTTGTCCTGCCACCTTCCTCCTGCTTCTTTCCACCCTTCCCGCCCGTTTCCCCCATCCCCACCTCCTCTGTGGCCGCCATCCTGTGCACGTTTAGGGGGTGACAGCAGGGGAGGTGCAGCTGCTGAGGGATGGGGCGTTTGGGGAGCGTTGCCCTGGGGCTGTGTTCAGGCCTCCTCTTCATCCTCCTCTTCCTCCTCCCACCCCTCCTGGCGCGCACCCAAGCCCAGGGTAATCCACAGGGGCTTAAAAGGGAAGCGCCAGCCCAGGCAGGCTCCTGCCCACAGCCCAGTGCCCCGGGGAGGCAGGGGGGGGGATTTACTGAATGAGTAGCTGCTGTGAACAGATGGGGGGGCGTGCGGGGAGGCCTGACAGACGTCTGGCTGGAGAGACAGGGGGACAAGCCCCCTGCCCACCACCTGCCTTCCCCCCACCCTTTGGTGCTGCCGCACCGGGCACTCAGGGGCACAGATGGAGCCGGCAGTGGGGTGTCCCCCCAAAGCCCCCCCGCCTTTCCCAAGTCTGCCTGGGCTTTAGCTGCTTACGCCAGGGCCCAGGAGGATTTAGTGGGGGAGGTAACGGAGCGGGGGGGGGGCACTTGTCTGTGGGCGCAGGGTGCCTTTGTGGGGGCAGGGGCAGTGCCAGGGGGGCAGGAGCTGATCCCTGCCCTGGCAGTAAGGCGGGACCCCTATCTGGAGCATCCCTTTACCCCCCACCCAGTTCAGGTCCCCTGTTGCAGCCCCGGCCCCCCTCCCCCCCCCATACAGGGTTGCCTCCTGCCCCCCCAGCCCTTCAGGCGCTCCCCCCTAGCAGCACCCCTGGGTGCCGGTGGGCCCTGGGGTGCCAGCCGCCCTGTCCCTGCTCGCTCCGGTGTCCTTGAGCCCTCAAGCCATGCCAGCTGATCGGCTTCCAGGAAAAAAAAAAAAAAAAAAAAAAAAAAAAAAAAAAAAGGAGTTACAAAGAGGGGCGATGTGTGAGCCAAAGGCGGGGGGGCGGGGGGGGGCCAGGAATGTCCCCAGCGGTGGCAGATGGCCTTACCCAGGGTGCATTGTTCCTTTTAGTGTCTCTTATCCGCTGTAATAGGATCCCGGAGGGAGGGATGTGGGAGAGGGGAAGAGCGAGGGGGGCCCCGGCGTGGACCAGGGTGGGGGCCGGGGCTGCCAGCCTGGCCCTGGCCTGTCAAGCAGCTCATTGTTCCTGCCCCGGGTGTCACTGGGCGCCGCCGGGGACAATGTGGCACTGAGCGGGGCGGCCGGCGGCGGAGGGACGAGGCGCACGGAAAGGTACCCGCCATGCCCCGCTCCCGCGGGGGCCGGGGGGCTTGGGGTGGCCGGGAGGGCGAGTGGAGAGAGGATCCCCCCCCAGGGGCAGGGTGGGGGCTTCCTCCTGTCCCCCCCCCCCCCCCCCCTTGTCCCCTCCCTTTGCCACCCGAAGGTGCCCTGAAAGGGCAGGCGGTGCCCAGCTTTGTGGCTGTCCTGACGCCAGCCGGTGGCACCGAGCCGGGGCAGGTGGCCTGTGCCCATCACCGGGGCCTCTGGCGTCCCTGCCAGCCCGGCCCACCTGGAGGAGAGCACCCCCCCTGCCCACAGACACCCCACATTGCCTGTGGGAAGTGGGGGGGACACCCAGGGCCCTGCCGCCTTCCCCCCCCTGCCCCACCGCCAGCCTTGTCCTCCTCTCCCCGGCGGGATCTTTTGTCCCCGGCGAGTCCCTGCTGCCGTCCATCCCCGGAGGGGACGGGGACCCGGGCAGGCTGCCCGTCCCTGCCAGCACCACGCGCGGCTCCGGACGCTGCGGAGGGGGTGGTTACAGCGGGGTACATCCCCCCCCCCCCCCCCCATTTCAGCCTCCCCTCTATCGGGAATGGAAATATCCCCCTTCCCCAGCCTTTCCCCCTTTCCCCAGCCCCCCCGTGTGAAGATGAGGCGTCCGACTCACCCCGGGGGTGCAAGCCATAGCACACGGGATGCAGAAGTGACCAACCTGCTCCCCCCGTCCCCCCCCCCCCCCCCGCCCTCCTCCATTACCCCGGTGCAGGAGATGTGCCATAGCGATGGCGAGTCCTGCCAGCACCTAAAATAACCACCCCCCCCACCCCACCCCCCCCCGCCATGCCCGCAGACGCAGGCCCCAGCCCCAACACGGGTGCTTTGTTTCAAAGCCGCTTGGCATCACCCGGCTTGCCGGGAGCCAGCGGTGCTGCAGCCGCCCACCCGTGCCCGGACACACGGCGATTGTCCTCCTCCCAGCCCCGCACTGGCACCGCGGGGGACCCCGGCCACCCCCGTCCCCTGGGCACAAGGTCTGACGGGTGCGCAGGGGAGGGGACAGGGTGCAAAGTCATGGAGCATGGGGCATCACGCCAAGGTTCGCGTCGGGCTGGTGGTCCCCCTCGGGGAGGTTGCCTCAGTTTCCCCTGGGGCTTTGTGCACGGGCAAGGGGAAGGGGATGAGGAGGAAGAGGAAGGCTCGCACAGCCCACAGGACCACCCAGGCCACCTCTGCTCCCCCTGCCCTGCGTGCCGCCTCCCCAGCAAGCATCTGCAACCCCAACCCCATCCTACAGCCGTGCTCCCCACACTTTTCCCCTTCCCCCCAGTATCTGTCCGGCTCCTGGCCTCGTGACAGCTGAGCCCAGGCTTGGGCAGACACATGGTGGCAGGTCCCTTTTGGGGAGCTCCCAGAAGGTGTGCAGGATGCCAGTGGGGTACCGCGGGGCTGTGCAAGCGTCCCCCGCTGGAGTAGGGCACAGTGCTGCTCCTGCCTCAGTTTCACTGCTTCCCAGCCATAGGTGCTTTTCAGGCTGCAGATTTAGGAGGGGGGGTTAGCTGGGGCCTCCCTCCTTTCTGGAAACCGCCGTGTCCCACAGGCTCAGCTCGCCCTCCTGCCATGGCATCGCCGGACGGAGCCAGCGGCATGGGCGGCAGCCTCGAGGAGACGGAGCTCAGCATCACCCTGACCCTCCGCATGCTCATGCACGGCAAGGTAAGGGCGGGGGGGCTTGGCACTGCCCGGGGGGGCAGCAGTTCCCCGGGGTGGGGGGCCACGCTGGAGCACCAGCTCCTTGTCACGCCCTGGTTTCCTCCCCTGCTCCCAATCCCCCCCCCCCGGGAACAGCATTCCCAGAAGGATTTCTTCCCCCATCCTAAGCCAGGGCAGGGCCTGTTCCCATGCCCCAGTGTCACCAGTAAGCCACCCCAGTGTCACAGTGGCCACGGGGCCTGCGTGTTGCCCGTTGGCCAGGCTGTGGGCGGAGGAGGAATGTGGCAGGCAGGGAGCTGCCTGCTGACCTGGCCACCCTCCTCTCTGCCTTTTCAGGAGATCGGCAGCATCATTGGCAAGGTAAGATCTGGAGTCCGGGGGGCAGCACCAACCTCCGGCTCCCCTGGACCTGACCACCCGCCCTGTTCCTCTCCCCGCAGAAAGGAGAGACTGTTAAGAGGATACGAGAGCAGGTAAGGGTGGGCTGGGGGGCTGCCAGGTCCTGCTGCCTGTGCCTGACGGCTCCCACATGCCCGGCCCTGACCTCCCCCATTCCCAGGTGGACCCAGGGAGGGGACATGGCCGCACCCGGGGGAAGGCTGCCTGGGGCAGGTGGGAGGGGGAAAGCCCAGGTCCCCAGGCACCCAACCCTTCCCCAGGGGGGGACAAGTGGAGCCCAGGGCCTGCGATGTCCCTGAGGGGGTGTGACACTGTCCTCAGAGCAGCGCGCGCATCACCATTTCGGAGGGATCCTGCCCCGAGCGCATCACCACCATCACCGGCTCCACCGACGCCGTCTTCCGCGCCGTCTCCATGATCGCCTTCAAGCTGGAGGAGGTAGGCAGCCCCCCCACACTGCAGCTGGGTGCCCCCACACCTGCGGGCTCCTGGGGGTCCAACGCTGCATCCCCCCTTCTTTCCCAGGACCTGGGAGCGGGGAGCGATGGGGCAGCAGCAGGCAGAGCGCCGGTGACACTGCGCCTCGTCATCCCGGCCAGCCAGTGTGGCTCGCTCATCGGCAAGGCGGGAGCTAAAATCCGAGAGATCCGAGAGGTGAGGCTGAGGGTGCCCTGGGTGCGGGGTCCCCTTTTCCCCCTGGGGGGCTGCCACAATCGCGCAGGAGCTGTGGGAGGTGATGCAGGAGTTGAGCATCACCCTGTGGGTCCTGCAAAGGTCCCCAGGGGCCAAGGAGAGAACAGGGGAGGTGTGAGGTGCTGAGTCCCAGGAGAGAGTGGCTGAGGGACCCCAGCACCTCCCTTTTCCCCCCCCAGAGCACGGGGGCACAGGTGCAGGTGGCTGGTGACCTGCTGCCCAACTCCACCGAACGGGCCGTCACCGTCTCGGGGGTGCCAGACACCATCATCCAGTGCGTGAGGCAGATCTGCGCCGTCATCCTGGAGGTACCTGCCGAAACCCACGCCCAGCACGGGGGGGGACACTCACTGCCTGCCCCCCCTCCCCAGGGCTCCCTGTGCCCATCTGGACTCGGGCACTGGTGTCTCTCCATGCTGAAGCCCATAAGAGCACCCTGCTTTGGTGGCGCTGGGGGGCCATGCCCAGCTTGGGAGGGTGGGGCAAAGGAGGTCCAGGGGGCTGCGGGGGCATTCAACCTCATCTCTCATCCCCTCCACCTCCTTCCCTCCCTCTCCAGTCGCCTCCGAAGGGGGCCACCATCCCCTACCACCCTGGCCTCTCCCTGGGCACCATCCTGCTCTCTGCCAACCAGGTAAGGGGCCGCAGTCCCCCAGGGGCACGGGGTGTCCTGGGGTCCAGCCTCTGCCTGTGAGGGGTGACTCCGGTGGGCTCAGGGTGGTCTCCCTGCCCCAGGGCAGTGGCCTGAGGCAGGGGTCCCCACCTGGCACCCCACTGATGCCCCTTCTTTCCCCCCCCAGGGCTTCTCCATGCAGGGCCAGTACAGCGGGGTCTCTCCCGCAGAGGTGAGTCTGCCCCCATGGCAGCCCACCCCTGCTCCCATGGGCACTGGGTCTGTGCCCACCAGGATGAGTGCTGCCAGGGGTGCCTGTCCTGGGAGGCACTGGGTGCCAGTGTCCGGCCCTGGGAGGGGACAGGGGACCCTCTGCCGTCACCCCTAACACCTCCCTCTTCCTCCTCCTCCTCCTCCTCCGTCTGCCCGGGCAGGTGACGAAGCTGCAGCAGCTGTCAGGGCACACACTCCCCTTCGCCTCCCTAGGCCACGCACCCTCCATGGTGCCAGGTGAGCATCTCCCGTGCCCCCCCACCCAGGGCTGAGGGTGTGGGGTGCCCCTCCTGACCCACCCAGCCACCTGGTCCTAATGAGAGGGTCCCCGTCCCCTGCACCCTCTCCGGTCCGAGCCCCCCTGGCATGGCTACCTGCCTCCCAGAACAACCCTGTCCTTGATTTCCTGGGGTCCCTGAAACCACCGGAGCTCCCCAGCCCTGCAGTGGGGGAACACCAGCACCAAATTACGACTGGTGCCTATGTCGCATCCTCCCTGCCTCTCCCCAGGGATCCTTCAGGTTTGCTCCCAGGGCCACTGACTGTCCCAACACAGGCCTGGGGCGGGGGCATGGAGCTGCTGGACATCCCCCCCCCACCCCACTAACTTCCCTGTCTCTCTCTCCAGGCCTGGACACCAGCTCCCAGAGCACCTCCCAGGAGTTCCTGGTGCCCAATGATGTACGTGTGGGTCCCGGGGATGGTGAGGGGCACCACAACTTGCCCCTACCCACGTGTCCCCCCCGCAGCCGCTTTGCAGGGGCCAGCACCCACTGCCTCTCACAGGGGAGGCTCTGCCTGGGCCACCCGAGCTCAGGAGCAGGAGGGGCTGCTGGGGCAGAAGCAGCTAGAGGAAAAGGGAAACAGGCACGAGAGGTGGAAAGGGCTTGGCCAACACCAAGGAAGAGCTTTGGGATGTGGCAGCCCAGTGATGCCAGTCAGGGGGTCTTGAGCAAGACCAAAAAGTAGGGTCTGCCCAAGGAAAGCAGTGCCCTTCCCTTTCGGTGTCTGCCTCAGTTTCCCCAATCCTACTGGGCACAGAGGGCAGCTGGGTGAGCCCCTGGGAGCTCCCTGCTCGGCGTGGCTCCTCCAGCTGCTCCCAGCTCACCCCAGTCCCTTCCCCTCCAGCTCATCGGCTGCATCATCGGCCGGCACGGCAGCAAGATCAGCGAGATCCGGCAAATGTCGGGCGCCCACATCAAGATCGGGAACCAGATCGAGGGCTCCAGCGAGCGGCACGTGACCATCACAGGGTCCCCCGTCAGCATCACCCTGGCTCAGTACCTCATCACAGCCTGGTAGGTGCCAGCCTGGGAGGGACACACTGACTGCTAGTGAGGGGTGGCACCTCCCCAGCACCCCAACCCAGCTTTTGGGGGACACCCCCACTCCAGCATCCTTAGGAAGGATAAGCTGGGTGGTGCTCTGAGGCCCTGAGATGATGGGTACAGGACCTGAGACCCCACGGGGTTTGAGCCCCAGCTTTTTAGCCTTCCCCAGCGGGATGCCCAGGATGTGCCATGGAAACCTGTGCCCGAAGGGATGGGGCGTGCGGTCCCTGCACGCTGAGATGGGCAGGTTGGGGCAGGGGACCTGCTCTGTCAGATGGTCCTCACCACCCCATCCTTCTCGCTTGGTTCCCCAGCTTAGAGACGGCCAAATCTACCTCCCAGGCGCCGCCGGGCCCTGGCTCCGTGGACCTCGGCGTGGGCTTCTCCCAGCCCCTCACCCCGGGCTCCGGCGCAGCACTGCCTGCCGTCGCCCCGGCCCCCCCAGCCCTGCTGGGCACCCCCTACACCATCTCTCTCTCCAACTTCATCGGCCTGAAGCCGGTGTCCTTCCTGGCGCTGTCCCCATCCTCCGTGGCAGGTCCCAACGGTGGCACCGCCACCTACACGACCAAGATCTCGGCGGCCAACGGCACCAAGAAAGCCGACCGGCAGAAGTTCTCACCCTACTGAGCCCCGCTGGCGGGTGGGCGAAGGGCTCCGGGGTGCCACCCGGTGCCAGGGACACCTCCCCGCTGCCCACCCTGTCCCCCAGCCCCTGCCAGGCGCCCCATGCCCGAGGTGGACCCCCCCTTGCCCCCCACCCCAGGGACGGGAAGGGTCTTCCCGGCAGCAATGCCCGCTGGAGGAAATGGCTGCTCTGCTGCCTGCTGCCCATCCCGGCAGCGCTGTGCCCCCCTCCCTGATTTTCCTGCACAAGGACCACGTGCCCTGGTATTGGGGGGTGGGGGGCTGTCCCTGCCGGCCCAGGGTCCCTTCTCCCAATGCCCTGTGCCAGGGTGGGACCCCCGCCTCCTGCCCCTCTCCCTGCCCACCCCGCCATCCCGCTCCTGCCCACCCTCCAGCTGGCACCCAAAAGCCACATCCATCTGGATGAGGGGCTGCCTGGCCTCTCTGGGGATCCCCCTTCCCCTGGCTCTGGTGGGGCACCCTCCCCGGGTCATCCCGGGGCAATCGCCTCCCAGCAACCCCATCCAAGAGCTGGTCCCTGCTGGCTTGGAAATGCTGTATATATAAGTCTATATTTTTTCCTCCTTTGTAACTTATCAATGGTTTAATAAAAAGATAAAATTTACAAGAAAAAAATAATAATATCCCCCACCCTAGGTGGAGACACCCCCAACACCCAGGGGCAGCCTCAGATCCTGGGGACACGGGGTGGTGGCCGGGGGGGCGTCCCTGTGGCCAGGGGGGTGCTGGCCCTCAGCCCCAGTCTCTCTGGGGGTCTTACCAAAGCCCCCTCCCTGCCATGGGGCAGTTTGAGAGGCCATGGGGCAGTTTTCCCCCAGCCCTCCCCAGTTATTACTGGGGCAGGAGCATCTCCAGCTGACTGTGCCAGCACCAACTCTGGGACCTTTATGGGTGGGCTGAGGGTGATGTACCCCTCCAGCATCCCCCAACAGGGTCCAGTCCCCTTTCTTGCACTGGGGGATCCCATGGGAGTGTCCCCAAGCCCAGCAGAAGCAATGAAGGGGAACATCAGCTCCCAGTCCCCTCCGGCTGCACTGCCCCGGGGGCACCCTGCACAACCCCCCTGCTGCCACCCTGTGCCACCACGTCCACCCCAGTGCACCCCTGGCCGGCAGCCCAGTTTGGCTGGCACGTGGCACCGCTAGCTGGGCAGCTGTGTCCATAAACAGCCTGGCACAGACCCCCAGCCGGCCAGCGTCCCCCCTGGAGCCCCTGCCAGCTGGGGGGGACAGGGGGCTCGGCCACGGGCATCGCATGCTGCCACGCCAGTGGGAGAAACACAGACACGGCCAGAGCCCGCCCCACAGGTGTCGTTCCCCCATAAGTACCACGGGTGACAGGAGCTCCTCCACCCAGACGTTAGTTTTGGGTTAAACAGCCAAAGACAGAGGGCTCCACATCAGCTGTCCAGGCTCAGCAAGGTGCCTGGGGCCCTGGCGTTACTGGTGTTAGTGGTGTTAGCTTGGCCATTGCTCCTGAGTAGGGTGCAAGGGACATCTGCTCTTCCCCACTGGCCACGAGTGGTCTCAGTGGTGTGACGGAGAGGGAGGTGGCCCCTCCTCTGCCCCTCATGGCATCCTGTGTCCGGAGGAGAGCCCATCCATGCAACTGGGCTGTGCTGGTGTAGCCAGAGACAATCCCAGCCTGGAGAAGGGAGATGAGGCTTCCCCAGATCTGCTGCCTTCTCCTGGGCAGAGAAACCATCTTCTACCGTAAGCTCAGAGAAGAGGCAAAACCTGAACAAGGACCCCTCCGAATCCAAGAGGCTGGGTCCAAGCAGGCCCGAGGGGTCCCTGGCAGGTCCCCTGCCCACCCTCCTGCCCACCACTGTGGGACAGGGCCTCCTGCTTCTCAGCTGCTCTCTTCAGGAACTTGACCTGGGATGGGGAAGCCCATCTTGGTCTGGTCCAGCCTGTTCCTGGGACTAGGGCTGATGCAGCTGGCATGGGTATCCAGCGTGCAAGTCGCTCTCTGGAGGAACTGCAAGAAGTTTTCCTGTACAGAAGCCTCTGAGACAGAAAGACAGAGCTCCTGGCCCAGTGGCCGGTTGGCACAGCTGCGCCGGAGCCGGGCCAGCTCCTCCCGGATCTGGCGGTTCAGCAGCCCATAGAAGAAGGGATTGATGGCAAAGGAGGAGTAGGCAATCCAGGTGACCACCATCTCCCCGTGCCCGCTGCCCACTGTGCCAGCGGCGACGGAGGAGTGCAGGTGGAAAGCGAAGAAGGGCAGCCAGCAGCACAAGAACTGTCCCACAATGAGGACCAAGGTGAGGATGGCCTTGTTGCTTCCCAAAAAGCGCTCTGGCATCAGCCTGGGCAGTGGCAGGTTCCTGGTGGTGATGATGGTCACTTGGCTGGCGATGGAGTTGGATCGGTGTCTCGGCGCAACCGCCTGTGCCGGCACGGGCACGTGCTGCAGGGATGCCATCCGGGCCACGCGGTAGACCCTGCAGTAGACAGCAAAGATGATGATGGTGGGCAGAGCAAAGCAGATGATGCTGAAGATGATCACGAAAACTTTCTTGTGGGCCCCAGGGCTCCAGTAGACTGTGCAGCGGCTGGCACTGGTGGCCCCATTGCCTTGAGGCCAGCCCACAAGTGCCAAGACAGTGATGAGAACAGACTTGACCCAAATGAAGATCACTCCAGCCACCGCCAGCCTGATGGTCATCTTGACCTCATACCTCATGGGGTGGACGATGTAGTAGTACCGCTCCACGCTGATGATGGCGATGGTGAGGATGGAGGCACTGATGAAGCAGACATTCAGGAATATCAAGGCCTGGCACTCGGCAATGCTGTATATCACCCTGTTGAAGCAGGACGAGCTGGAGATGATCCCCAGGGGCATGAGGAAAATGGCAGAGAGGAGGTCGACCACACAGAGGTGGCAGACAAAGATGAACTTCCTGAGAAGGGGGGTTTTGAGAATGACGACCATCACCACGGCGTTGGCCACCAGGGCGGTGAGGGTGAGCAGGACCATGCAGAGGAGGCCCACCACCTCCTGGGCGGTGGACTGCTCGGGGACGGAGAGTGGCTCTGGGCTGCCCGTGGTGTTCAGCCCCGTTCGGCTTGCCATCCCCTCCAAGGGCTAAGCCAGCAGCTCTGGTGCCTGGGCAGCAAGGGCTCTTCTTGCGTGTCCCTTAGAGGGAAACCTCACCACAACCATGGCCGCTGTCTTCTCCTTGCCTGCTGGGGAGGCGAGCGGGGTGTGAAGGACAACCAAAATGAAGAAGAGCTACAGAGGAACCCAGAGATGACCTGAAGCCCTCCGAGATGCTGGAGCAGGGAGAGGTGCCCAGCGAGGTCACAGCACCCTTCCTGCTCCAGACCTGGCGTCTGGGCTGTCCCCAACCTGGCCAGGAACGGCACTGCTGGGACCCGCGGGCACCCGTGTCAGTCTGACACCCCGTCCCCCTGCCCCAACCGCACCCGCTCGCCCCGAGGAGGGACAGCACCAACCCCCCTGCCCCATCCCTGCTCCTTGCTCCGGCCGTGGGGGACCCCGGGGTGGGGGTGGGGAGGGGACCCAGCGCACCTTTGCTCCAGGGAGGGTGGGTGATGTTCCCCTCCTCGCCGCGGGTCCTTCTCTCCGGTGTCGCTCCCGCAGCCACGCTCCCCCTTCCCCGCGCCCCGTCACCCGCTCGTCATCCTGTTTGCCTGCAGCCTGCCAGCTGCGGATGGCACCGGCTGTCACTCCCGGGCGCTGCCTGCACTCGTGGCGGTCCCACGGGGACAGCTGCTGGGTCCTAGCAGCCAGCGGGGGCTCAGGAAGGGGGGACCGGGGTCCCCAAGCCCCGTGCCCCCCAACCCTCAGCGTGGCCGCCCACTGCGCCAGGCCTGGTCCTTCCGCAAGGACAGCTGGGCCCGGAGGTCCCCAGGGCTCGGGGGACAGACCGACAGACAGGTCCGCGGCGTCTCCTCCCTGCCGGTGTGCGGGTGCTCTGGAGCATCCGCAGGGCATCGGGGTGACGCAGGCGGGAGTTGCCTCTCCCCGGCACCCCGGGGACCCGGGCGTGTGCTTGGGGGGGCACACGTGAGCGTGGAGAGGGGCTCTGGCATGGGTGCCAGGCTGGGGCAGGGCAGCAGGCACAGCACCGAGCGTGGGGGCAGGCACTCGCCCTCTGGACGGATGGATGAGATCCTCCGTGCCCAGGCAGGGCAGCACGTCTTGCTGGTCCTCTGTAGCTCTGACGCCACGGCGATGGGCACGAGCCACGCGCCTTGCTGTGGGGACCAGGGCACCCGGCTGGCAAAGCCACCAGCCTTCACCTGAGGGCTGCCAGCACCAGGTGGCCACAACAGGCTGCAGCCCTTCCAGAGCCACCCACCGCTGTCCCTGCAGGAACCCACCACCACCCTTCCCTACTCCGCACCCACCTCGCCGGGCAGGAAAGCGCTAGCACCACTCCGTACAAGGCACGGGGGTTTTATTCACCGTTAAAGCAAGCTCTGTCCCCAGGCCAGCCTGTCCCTTGCTAAGACTCAGGTGGGGTAGCTGGACAGTCAAGACCACTGTGCTCTGGGCTGGTGGGCATCACCAACTGGTGCTGGGATGGGGCTGCGGGGTGCCTGGGCACCCTCAGAAGTGGAGCTGGACAAGGTAGCGGAGCCGGCACTGGCTTTCCTGGTAGATGAGGTACTTGCTCTGGCTGAAGGAGGACTCCTTGTAGGCAGGCATGGGGATGGGCTTGCCCTGGCACACCAGCACCTTCTTGCCATCCAGCAGCCCCTCCTCATCCAGCGTGGGGTCTGGGCGAGAAGACACCCCCCACCACCACGTCAAGCCCGAGATCTGTCCTCTCTTCCCCTCTCCCCGTGCCCACCCCAGACCCCCAGACCCCACGCCCCCGCCTGCGCCGGGCTCACCCAGCTCTGTCCGGCCGCAGGCCAGTACGCTGTCGTAGCTGGCGGGCGGCTGACACAGCGTGTGGTCATCACAGGTGATGCAGCAGGGCTTGCCCAGGGCCACCTCCACCAGGCTGGAGGGGCAGGGGAGCGGGTGCCTGTTTGCCCCTGGCCAGCTGGGCTGAAGCTCCCTCTGGGTGGACAAGACCAGAGCCCTAATGCAGTCCTGGGGTGCAACCTGGGCTTCCCCACTGTGGGATGCGGATAATCATCTCCTCCTCACCTCACCATCTTGGGCCACCTGCCAGATGTTGAGGATGCGGAGATTGTGCCCAGTCTGTGCCACATAGTTTTGGATTAGCTGCCAGGGAGGGAAGCAGGAAAGCGGTGTCACTGCAGGCAGCCATTCCAGCAATGCCCACGGTTCCCCTGGGACAGGGGGGGCCTTTGGGGTGCCCTCAGGCCCTTTGTCAAGGGGCACCGTGGCACAAGCATCACCTGGTATTCCTGGGAAGCCGGGTCCAGCAGGGAGAGGTGGCAGCAGAGCAGGGTGTAATCCTGATCCAGCGGATGGGTGACTTCCTCCTACTTCACCTTCTGCGCCTGCAGGCTCTGTGCCACCTCGATGTCAGCCAGCACCTGGCAGGCACAGACCAGGAACATCCTCACCGCCCATTCTGGGCACCGTGCTGGGGGCACCAGGGCAAGCTCAGCCTTCTGCCTGCACAGCCCCTGCCCCACAGGCAGGAGCCCTCCCTGGGGAGGGAAGCCACCCACCGGGTGCCCTGGCATCTCACCAACAGCATGTCCTTCTTGGCACGCAGCACGTCAGAGGAGTTGATGGACGTGCCCACTCAAAGTTATGAGGGACAGTGGTGTAGAAGCAGGAGGAGAAGTCCTTCAGGCAGGCAGCCTGGGGTGGCTGCTCCCGCGGTGCCGCCTCCAGCTCCTCCAGTGCCTCAAAGCCCCTCGTGATCTGCTGCTTGCTCAGATTCCCCAGCGCCATCTTCTTCACATCTGGCCAAGGGGACAGGGGAGGGCATGGGTGAACCCATCTGCCCCACTTGCCCCACAGCTACTTCCAAGAACCTCCAGCATGACCACAGGCACACGCAGGCACCCGGCATGGGAAGTCCACAGTCCCACCAGGTGCTGGGCTGTCAGCAGGGATGCTCTAAAATCCATTGGCACCTCTGCCCCCTTCACTCCCTCACCTGCAGCCCCTGGCCACAGCCCCCCAGACCCACCCCGTACCACCTGTCACCTCCTACCGATATTCATGGTCTGCATGGCATCCCGGAACATGTCACTGCTGAAGGTGAGGGACACCAGGTCCTGCGTGGCTTTGTCCAAGGTGCAGGCAACACCCGCTGCTTGCAGACCTTGTTCCCATCCAGGCCATCCACCTGCAGAACCCCACCATCACCGCGCCATCTGCGAGCCCGCGAGAGGGTGCAGGGGCACGGCACTGGGGCTGCCCGTCTTGGTAGGGAGAGCCTGGCCCCCGGGCAGCAGAGCAGTGGGCAGGCGCTGCCTCTATTTTCTGTGGCCAGTGCCACCCAGATGCCTATGGTTCGCACTTGGGATGCCTTCTCACTCCATCTCAACCCATTAGCCCCAACCTTCTGCCCAAGGGCTGTTTCAGTTTGCACCCAGACTCCTCCCGAAACCCACCCCATCCTGCCAACCCGCTTGGATGTCCTGGTACCCAGTGGGCCACGGGTGGGATGTGAGGACCACCCCACCATGGTGACACCCCGGCTGCCTGGCACACTCAACCGGAGGGCAACCTCCACCTCCTGGCTGCACCTCAATGAGAGTGTACTTCCCCAGCTGGGCAACGAAGTTATCCCTCGCTGCCCAACTGGTTTTGGTCTTCTCCCAAAATTTCTTCTCAAAGTCCTTCTTGGCAGCCTCCAGGGAGGCGGTGGGCATGAGCTTGGACTGGCCCACCTCCCCCTGGGAGTGGACAGCAGTGGTCAGGACCCCGCTGCTCCAGCAGTCCCATCCCGGGGGGGACAGCCTGGGAGCAGGGGGGGCTGTGATGGCAGGGCTGTGGGGCAGAGAGCAGGAACGTGCTGAGCCACTAGCACCAGGTCTGGGTGGTCCCTCCAGCTCAGCGAGACACCCCAGGACTCCTTGCTGGGGTGTCACATTCACTGTCACTGCAGTGGCAGGTGTCATGTCCCCCAGCCAGGCTGACCTAGCTGTGTGGGGGCAAGTCCTTGAAGCCCCCCAACAAGGGGCTATAGCAGGGCCACTTTATTGCTTGTTTTGGGTCCAGGAACAAGGGATGGGAACCACCAGGTTCATCCCCGACACTTGGGAGTCCCAAGACAGGGTGGGGACAGCTGGGCAGGGGGGACGAGTGGTGCTGGGGGGGACTTACCACCCGACCCCAGCGGCTCCGGACACTGTAGGCACCATCATGCTCAAGGAGCTGGATGATGTAGAACTTGTTGTTGTTGGCGCTGATGTTTGTCTGGTTCAGGGTGCAGTCATAGTCCTCGTAGACTGGCACCTGGGCAGCGTTTGGGGATGGGGGTGGGGGGGGTGCAGAGCTGTCCCAGTGGGGACACAGTGGGGTCTGCAAGGAAAACTGGGGCTGCCCCTGTGTCAGCAGGGAGGGGACTGCCCTGGGACTCTCCCTACCCTGCCCACACTCTCCTGCCCACATTCTCCCATCCCGGCCTCGCTGGGTACCGCAGCCTTGCTCTCACGCGGGTGCCTGGTGCTGTGCTCCTCAGGGGGCACAACCCATCAGTGGTGCCGGGGGGCTTCTCCTTGGGGGCAGTTTTCAGGGCTGCCAAGGTGGAGCTCCAAGCATCCTCCTCCTCTCCCTCCTTTGCTTTCTTGCCCCTGCCATCCAGTTGCTTCAGGAGGGACACGTGGCGCTTGGAGGCCATGTCTTAGCCACCCCCACGGGGTCAGCAGAGCCTTAATCCACCCAAAAAAACCTTGGGGAGAGCAGAGCAGGAAGCAAGAGATGTCGAGCTGCCCTTCCAAGACAGTCCAGCTGGGCTGTGCCTCACTTTCCCTATGCCTCCAGTCCACAGCCAGGCTGGAGGAGGGATGGGACATCTGCTACCAAAATATCTCAGCCTTGCCTCTCTGCTTGGAGTGGGGGGCAGAGTCCCTCGGCACCCTCCAGCCCCCGGGGGTGCCCAAATGGAAGATGCAGCCTGATGACGTGGAGCCAAGGGGGAGTGTTGTGGGGGGCAGGCATGGCTGCTTGCACAGCAAACTCAGGTCAGAAGAGCTGGAAGAGGATGAGTGTCCACTGGAAGGGTTGGGGGGAGCTTGGACAGCCCTGCTTGGTCCCCACTTGCCCTCACCAGGGACCCCCAACATGCAGGAGTGTGTCCCCAAGACTCCCCCAGCCCCGTGTCCCCAGAGGTGTGCAGGAGAGGAAAGCATGCAATGCCCCCCCTAAACATGCAATGCCCCCCTCCCCCAATCCCTCCCAAGACCAGTGAAAGGTTGCTTTGATTTGGGCACGGGGGTTGCTCGAGCAGCCCCTCATCTCCTCCTATGCCCTCCCTCAACCCAGATGAGCAAGGGGTGCCAGCAGCAGCAAAGGGGGCAGAAGAGCAGGGAGCAGCCCTGTCCTACCTGCTCCCACTGCCCGGGGTCGATGAGCCCAGCACCAGGCACAGCTGCTCCCCCCAAGGAGCCTCCAGAAGCCTTTGGGCAGGTCGGGCAACCAGCCTGGAGGCAAAACTTTTTCCTTAGGCAAGAGGAGGCAGCGGCCAGGGATGACAGTGGAAACAACTGTCACGTCCCCGGGTAGCACAGGCACCCTGTGGCAAGCCTGCCTGCCTGCCCGGCGGGCCCCGGACCAGGGGTGACCCTGCTGCCAGATGCCCCTCCAGCCAGCACCCCTCTGCTCTGGGGCAGAGAAAACAGTCTTCAGAGGGCTAAAGCCTACATAATTTTGCGTGTTGAATCACTTTTCTTGGGTCCCTGCCAAACAGGCAGGGCTGAGGAGAAGGCTGGGAGGAGGAGCAGGCAATGGCTGCCTTCTCCTGCCTGCAAACTGCCTTCCTATACAAGAGGTGCCCGTCCCTGGGCAGGAGCGGCTGAGCAGCCAGTGCGGACACGGGTGGCATGGGCAGGAGGCAGAGCTGTCCTTCCTGCTGGGGACATGGAGGGGACAATGCAGCTGAAGCCAGAGCATCAGTGGCTTCATATCTGCCAGGCTCGGCCACATCAGCCCCAGGCAGCGCAGGGTGAGGGGACAGCCCCGTGACCTCCCTCAGGGGAAGAAAATATTTAGTTTTACCAAGGCAGGTACTCCCCCAAAAGGACTGCAGCCCACGGAGGAGCCCGTGCCAGGGCGGGTGAGATGAGTAAGAAGCAGGGAGTAGCAGGAGGAGACCAGCGGCTCCCACGCCGTGTGCCACCCACTTGCCTTACCAAAGGGAAAGGAAAGGCTGGCTGCAGGGTGGGGAGACCACAGGGAGTGGAGACCACGAGGGGGAAGTGGAGGTGGTGGCTGGCATCAAGCCTGGGGAAGGAAAAGTGCTACCCAAGCCCTCCCTCTTTTTTATGCATTCTTTGCTTCTCCATGCCTGGATCTGTAGGTACACCACCTGCTTCAGAGCTTTCCCACTTCTACAGTCAACAGCTCAACGTCCAAGTGGGAACCAGTAACGAGTGGTGTCCCTCACTGGTCCATACTGGGTATAGTACTATTTAATATCTTGACAAGCTGGAGGATCTGGGGTCGCTCAGCCTGGAGAGACCTTACTGCAGCTTTTCAATATACAAAGGGGGCTTGCAAGAAGTGGAGACTTTTTAGCAGGCCCTGTAGTGACAGGATAAAGGGCAATGGTTTTAAAATGAAAGAAGGAAGGAATGTCTTGTGATGAAGGTGGTGGGACACTGGGCCAGGTTGCCCAAAGAAGCTGCTGCGGATGCCCTACCCCTGAAGGCGCTCAAGGCCAGGTTGGACAGGGCTTTGAGCAACGTGATCTAGTTGAAGATGTCCCAGCCCACGGCAGGGGGGTTGGACTGGGTGATCCTTGCCGGTCCCTCTCAGCTTGGGGCAGCCTGCGACCCCAGGACCCGCAGGGAGGCAGGGGAAGGGGGCACGGCCCCGGCCGGGCACTCCCAGCCGCCCAGGCCCGGCTGCGGCGCCGCCCTCCCCGCACTACAACTCCCGGTGTGCCCCGCAGCCGACGGCAGCCGATGCGCATGCGCACCGCTCGGAAACTTCGAGGCAGAGGGCGCGGTGCCTGCTGGGTAGAAGACGACTAGTCACCTCGGCGCCATTTTGTGGCGAAGGAGCGTGGGGTTGCGCGCGTGTGTTCGGCGCCCCGGGGTGGCGGTTAGCGCTGCGCTGTGTGCTTGCGGATCTTGGACAGCGTCATGGGCTCGGACAAGCGGTGAGCGTGGGTGGGAGGGCGAGGAGAGAGGGGAGGGAGAGAGGGGAGGGGGCGGGCGGGCGAGCGGGCGGCCCCCTCGGGGTGGGCGATGGTGGGAGTTGCTGCGGGCTTTTCTGGTTGTGAGCTCGGTCCGGTGTGCCCCTCAGCGTGAGCAGGACGGAGCGGAGCGGCCGCTACGGCTCCATCGTGGAGAGGGAGGACCGTGATGAGCGAGAGTCCCGGAGTCGGCGCAGGGATGACTATAAGAGGTCCAGCGAGGAGCGCCGCGGTGACCGCTACGATGACTACCGCGACTACGATAGCCGCGACTACGACAGCCGAGACTACGACAGCCGCGATAGCCGAGACTGCCGGGACTACGATAGCCGCGACTACGACAGTCGCGACAGCCGGGACTGCCGGGACTACGACAGTCGCGACAGCCGGGACTGCCGAGACTACGATAGCCGTGATTGTCGTGACTATGACAGCCGTGACAGCCGAGACTACGACTGCCGAGACTACGACAGCCGGGATTGCCGAGACTACGATAGTCGCGACAGCCGAGACTACGACAGCCGAGACTATGACAGAGACTACGATAGCCGCGATTATGATAGCCCAGAGGTGAGTGGAGCAGTGGGTGCTGCCACACGGGGCGGGTGGGCTCCCCACGGCGCGGGGTCCCGGTGCGAGCCCGGTGCCAGGGTTGGCATCCCCGAGGGTTTGTTAGAGCGAAAGGGGGGGGGGGTGGTGGTGTACTGCCTGAGGCCGTCAGCACCGAACCTGGGAGAGATGGTTGTACGGGGAGTTGGTGTGTTGGTTATGATTCGTTTTTCTGGCACTGCGGGGGCACGCCGCTAGAAACTGCAGTGGTTAATTCTGAGCGCTGGCTTCTTAGAGGGAGCGGGAGCGCAGGAACAGTGACAAATCAGAAGATGGATACCATTCCGATGGCGACTATGGAGAGCACGACTACAGGAACGACATTAATGATGAGAAAGAAAGCAAAACCATCATGTTACGTGGCCTTCCCATCACGGTTACAGAGAACGATGTAAGTAGCCAGAAAGGGGCTTTGCTTTTCTTGCATCTCAGGAAGTGTGCGGCTTTGTGTCAGCAGGTCTGGGTGGTAGTCGCTGCTGCCATTTTGTTGAAAGCTGCATCATGGTGGCCCCCGTTAATGTGTTGGTCGCACTGCCATTTTGAATCCTAAAAGGATTTAAACTGTTACTGTTAAGTAACAGGTCAACTGAATGTTAACCAGTTTATTTCAAATGGGAATAGTCTTATGCATGTGTGGATGCTTTCCCTAAGAGTGGATTTTAAACTACCTGCTCTTTTCTCCTCCTCTGTATAGGAGGGAAGAACTAGGTTTGGTTTTTTTTTTTTCTCTCCCTGCCTCCCCTACTCAGGGAGAGGGACAGAGAGGAGGTACTTCCTTGAATTTTTCCTGATCTTTATTGAGGCCAGAAGTTCTGATGCGTGAGGTTACACGCACCGAGCTCCTCAGCTGGGTACGGCCCTGCACAAAGCTGCTTTGTGTACGTACCGCAGGGGAAGTCATAAAATGGCTGCTGTGGAGCTGACAGAGCAAGTACAAATGAGCTTAGTACATGGTTCTCTAACTTTCTATTAAAAAAGATGTTGAAGGTGATCAGCTTTGAGCTTTCTTTTTTTATTCTTTCTAAAATTTTTTTCTTCCTTCATGGATTATTTTGATTACCAAGATAAAAGCCCACAACTGTTACTTGAGGAGTGAGGGGGAGCCGTGTAAATGCTGAGCTATTCCAGGGTGTTTTCAGGCAGACTCCGCCTCTGCTGAGATCTTTATGCATTGATTACCAACACAGAGAATCCTTTTGCATCACTTTTGCAATGGAAATTTTTTTTTTTCTTTGATTATTCACTACCTTCCTAATATTGAGGTTTTTTTAATCATCGTGTATTGGCTAATATTTTTGTAGGTGCTTGATAAAATGTAGGCTCCTACATACAAATAATGTAACCCAGTCAGACATTACACAGAGCATCTCAGAACGGTTTCTGATTCTGAGGAGTAAATGTTGTGTGGCTCTACAGTTGTGCAAATAACTGTAGCATGTTTTATGGGACAGTTTCATTCTGGACTATTCTTTAGAGTGTAGGTGATGTAACTACTAGTTGCTTTCTTAACGTTGCTTTGGTACTTCTGACTGGGTATGTTTTTTTCCACTTTTTTAATGAAAAAAAGCTACTTGCACTGAAGATGTCAGTTCCAGTCAGCCTGGAAACACTTCACAGCTTTAGATCAATTTTGAGTTTGCTGAGCCAGCCCTGTTGTATATAATGTAGCTTGAATTCTGTAGGAGCTGCTGAGAAAAACCTCTGCTTGTCTTCTGATATTAAAAAATTTTTCAAAGTGTTTTTTTCCTACGTGTCTCTCCACAGTAGTGTGTAGCCTGTGCCACAACTTAAGCAGCTTTGTTAAGGAGGCTGAAGAACTGATGTATCTTTTAGCTTCTTCTTTAACAGTATGTTCTTCACAAATCTACTTTTAT